TGCATACTACTCGCTGCAAACCTCGCGCCTCACACCACAGGGTCCACGATAAACACCCCTGACAGCTCCTGGCGTGCCAGGCTGGTGGTGGGGCTGGTTGCTTCTGGGAGTTCGGTGAGCTCAGCCCCTCTGCTAAACCCCCCTCTGGGTGTGGGTACTGTGAGGGGAACCTCCTGCCCGAACATCAGAGGGATTCACACCTCTGATGTGAAAAGAGAGCCTCTTGTTCACGCTAACTGAGCTGTTCCTAGTTATACCACACAGAGAAAAGCACGTTAAGTCGGGAAATGCTGCTCTAACACTCACTTCTTACTTGCTTTGTTGCTCAGTAGAGCCTGTTTCACAAATTGAGTTCAGGACCCCATCTGACTAGGCTTGACATCTGCACAAGGGGAAAGACCTTTTCTGCCCAGAAGCTCAGGACCCAGAGCCCAACATTTTGGAGAAGTGCTCAGAGAAGATGCCTGGAGCAGCTCAGTGGGATGGGCTGCCAAGACCTTCCTTGGGCTTGGTGCCAGCAGGCAAGAGAGCCTGGTGGCAAGGAGGGACAGGCAGAGCTTGCCCAAGCTGGTGGGCAACCAAGCAGGGGCTCCCCATGCTGAGGGGTCCCTGCCCTCAGCCCCACATCACCCATGTAACCCTGAACAGCAGAGCAGGGCATTTACCTGCTCCACAGCTGCAGTATACAGCCCAGCACACTGGACAGAAGTTTGCACTTCTCATACCATGGCCACAAAGCCACAGCACCTCAGGAGTGGAAACATCCCCTTTGGCTCTATTGCCCAAACAGCCACTCTGGGGAAGATGGCAGTGAGGAAAGCTGATGTCAGCAACAGCAGCTTCAGCCGTCCCAGCTAGCTCCACTGGCCACCATGATGAACCTCGAGTTACCCACGCTTGCACCACTGACAACATATTGTCCCCACTCTCATAATTTCCATCACCCATCAACAGCACCACAGGCTCCTGCAGGGTTCCGTATCCCCATGCTACCTCCTGATTTGCTTGTGAATTTAGGGGAGCAGGACTGACCTAGTGCATCCACAGAGCAGGACTCCAGTCCAGAGCCAGGACCTCCACACTATGGTGTAACACAAGCAACAACCCCAGTTGGTGGCAGCCGTAAGAACGGAGACAGCCTAGTCCAGCACCCCACTGAGCTCAAGGCACTGGCCTTCAACTTTGTGGGTCATCGGACTGCTTGAAAAAGAGCCACAGAAGGTAACAAAAGCCCATTGTCAGAAGGCTCCAGCGCCCGGAGTGTCTGCCAGCCACAAAAGGTGAAACGTATGGTGTTATTTTCAAGCGAGGAGTTTTCCTGTCAGCATGGCAGATGACCTTCACCAGCCTTCACTTCCTCACCTCATCCTGGCTTACAAGGAAAGTTTTTCCACTATGTGGGTCACTACATGTACTGTGTTGTTGAGCACCAGGTAAGACAACAGTGCTGTCCCAAGTCTTGAGGCACACCACCACCCTCCCCTCTAGCTGAGCTGCGACAGGAATTACGTGCGCACGCGGAGCACACAAAAGTTACCTGACACAGTACATTTCCCTCAGACACAACGCAGAACGGAGCTGTAACGCACTTTTTCAACCCGAAAAGAACGAGATTTGTTTTCTTTCCCACAGGCTACCAAGCGGTAAAAGACCCAAATAACGCTAAAGCAGCCTTCAAGAAAACTAAGCGTCAAACGTTCAAATGTCCTTCAGAGGCTGGCAGGGATGAGCTGAATCACCCCACGAGCCAGGTGAGGCACCAGCTATGCCAGCAGTTCCAGGGATAAGTTTGCAGCCGGTGCGTGACGCGCCAGAAAAGATCCATAACCCCCCAAAAAACGGGAACGCTTTTCCCATGCACATCCAGCACTTCGCTCTGGAGAGCGGACCATTCTTCTGTGTGAAACACTTGCGAACCCGTGGCCCTCAAGGGGAAGCCCTCTTCCTCCGACCACCCCCGGGGCGATAACGGTGCTTACCCCCTCAACCCCATCCCGCCCCATCGCACCCTTCACACACACACCCTCCCCCCCGGGCCTGCGGGACCTCCGTCCCTCCCGCACGGGCTGAGGCGGCGCGGGGGGCCCGTCGGCGGGTGCGGCGGGCCCGGCTGCACAAAGGGCGGCGGGGCCGGGGGGAACCGGGTACTTACTTTGTCTATGGTGCCCGGGAGGAGACGGTCGAGCAGGCGGCAGAGCACCACCCCGTCCTTCAGGGAGGACTGGAGGAAGCCCTCGGGGTCGGAGATGGTCTTTTTGGGCGACTCCAGCACGCCCAGGGCGATCAGCCACGTAACGGTCTGCTCCGCCGAATTCATGGCGCTGGCGGCCGGGCGGGGGTCGCGGCCCCCCGCGCCTCCCCTCGCGTGGGTTTTGTGTGTCCCCGGGCGGGGGCTTCAGGCGGAGGCCGGCGCCGCCCCCATGTGAATGCAGATGACGACGCCCCGGCCCCGCCGCCGCCACAGACACATGCAGCTGCAGCAGTGCCGCCTCCTCCCCGCCCCCCCCTCCCGCCGCCGCTGCCGCCGCCGCCGCCGCCGCCGCCGCCGCCGCCGCCGCCCCATGACATCACTGTCAGCGGCGGCAGCCGGCCCCTCCGCGCGGGGGCAGCGCGCCCGCGGACAGCCGCGCGCCACTCCGCACCCTCAACCGCGAAGACCCGCGCGCCCCCCGTTGGGGCGGGCGGCGGCTGCCCCCTAGCGGCGGGACGGTGCCTCCGCGGGCGCGCAGAGGGATAGGTACAAGTCCTGCGAGGAGCGGCCGAGGGACCTTGGGGAGTTAGTCTGGAGAGAAGGAGGCTCAGGGGGCATCTTATCGCTCTGCAACTACCTGAAAGGAGGATGGAGTGAGGTGGGGGTTGGTCTCTTCTTCCAAGTATCAAGCGACAGGACAAGAGGTAACAACCTCAAGCTGTGCCAGGGGAGGTTTAGATTGGATATTAGGAATGATTTCTTCACGCAGAGGGTGCTCAGGCATTGGATCAGGCTGCCCAGGGAAATGGTGGAATCACCCCCCCTGGAAGTGTTCAGAAACCATGCAGATGCCCTCAGTGACATGGTTTAGTGGTGGACTTGGCAGTGCAGGGTTAACAGTTGGACCTGATGATCTTAAAGGTCTTTTCCAACCTAACTGATTCTGTGATTCTGCTCTAAGGAGCAGCCAGTTACTGGCGGCCATGGTCTTCCTGGGGGGACTGGAAGCTTGTGGGGGGAGTTGGGAGGCACTGGCCACGAGCTCTTGGCCTGACTGGTCCCATCAAACCAGTCAGGGCCATTGTGCACGGCTCTGTGTGTGGGGAAGCCTGTTAGGCAGCCTGGGCCCAGCAGCTGGTTGCTGGCTGGCCCCAGCACACTGCGTCCCTGTCACCATGCCCACAGCTCATCTGTGCCTCCCTAGGGCTTTTCATGGGCTATGGCACCAGCTCGGGAGCTGGTGTGAAGGGCCTGGGAAGGCTGACCTGAAACAGCAGTGAAAGCATTCCTGGGGTTTTTATTCTGGAAACACCTGTTCCTGAATGCTTTGCAGGGACAGCACCCTGCATGCAGCCAGTGGTTTTTTATTAAGGCCTGTGTGGGCTCCCCAAGGCCACACTGTTGCCACCAGCCTCCCCAGTGCTGGAAAGGCAATGTCACCATGGCCTGTGCTCTACCCCTTACCTTCACACCCCAGCTGAACTCCTTGAGGGGCAAACCTACTTCTCAAGGCAACATTAGAGGGACTGTTGCACACCCTCAACTCATCATTTCCTCTCTGTGGTTCTGCTTCCAAGGTGGATCACTGTGGCCAACACTGCCACTGCAGCCCCTGAGCAGGGTTCTCCTGATCCAGAGTAACCTCCTCAACCATAGGCTGGCCCACACACTCCACAGAAAGACTTGAGGTGCATTTGGATTTCAGATAATCCAACCCCAATGTTCAACCTCTTTCTAATCCACCATGGAAGCAGTTTTCTTCAACTCTGACACCTGAGGTGTGACAACTCTTTCAAAATTTGCTAGCATTACCCATTTGAAACTTTGCCTTTTGCTGCTTCCAGACATATTTGGAGCAGCAGCTTCCTATCTGACTGCTGGTTAGCTGTGAGGAACACAAACATGGCTGAGTTTTCCCATCAGAAAGCCATGTGGACGGCCTGCCTGGAGACCTCTGGAAGAAGCTTGCCACAGGTGGAGGAATTGTTTCCAAAGCTTTAGAGGAAAAGAGTGAAAGTTCCCAGAAGATTCAGGAGCATGCCAATCCCTTCCTGGCTTCCTCCCTTGTCAGACTTTCCCCTACAAGGTGTTTAGTGCAAACCACACGAACTCTGCGCCACTCCCCTGATTTATCCTTTTCTCTCGTGTGCCCAGTGCGGGGCATGGAATCACAGAACGGTTTGGGTTGGAAGGGACCCTAAAGACCATCTAGTTCCAACTCCCCTGGGACACAGGGCACAGGGACACAGGCACGGACACCTTCCATTAGACCAGGCTGCACAAAGCACTGTCCAACCTGGCCTTGACCACTGCCAGGCATGGTTTTATACCAGATTGTTAGTAGGACAAACAGCTATTTTGCATACACACCATCCAGAATATGGAGCCCATGCTGTGGTGGGAGTTTTGGAGTCATGCAAAAAATGAAACATGTAACTATTGAAAGTCTGCCCTCTTTCTTCTCCTTTATTTCATAATTAAAGCTGTTCTGATTCTCTTCTGTCCTGACTTTGGTCTCACTTTTCTTCTAAATCATAAACCAGTGATACTTCACTAAATCACCCATTTTGATAGCATTGAAACAATCTAAGCTCTTTCTGAAGGCTTCAAAAGGCACGATTTTAAGCACCTTTCTCTGCAAAACATTTTAAATACATACAAAACTGAAAAAGTCACCTTAGAACTGAGCCTCTATATAAATAAAGGACAGATGTAGAGCACGTATGTAGGTTCAGGTAACTTCCAGGTCTTAAATCTCTTTACGCAAGCAAAGTGATTTTTTTATTTTGCAGTTTTCTTTCAGTTTAACAATATCTAGGCCCTTTCTTGAACAAGACAGAAAGAAATAGTCAATGAAATACATCAGCCACCTTTGGTGGAGATTTAACAGCACATCATTTTCCGTAAATGAAGATTAAGCAGTTGACAGTTTATTGGGCCTTTTCCCAGCTTTTGTCATGTTCCTGTAAGAAGTTACTAAGGAAACCAGGTAGGCATGAGGGGTAGAAGAAAAATTCCTGCCACAGATTAGCAAGTGGTTGAAAGACAAAGCAGCAGGAATAATTTGCCAGTTTTCAATTTGACCAGAAAGTTCCTGGTAGAGCTACTTTCTCTGATCTGCACTATAGATTAACTGAAAGTCTCCAAAAGGCAATTGTACTTCTACAGGGTTTATTTAGTCTTTTAGCCTGAGCAACAGGTTTTAGAGGAGGGAGAGCAAGAGAGGTAGAAAATAGGTGGAGAGAGCTGCTGCTTCAGTTTGGACTCTCATCTGCCATTTTTCATCTCCAGCTGTTTATACCTCCTCTGCCTACCCCCGGAGCTGCAATGGGATGCTTTGGCCAGATATGCAACTCTGTTTTCCCTGTGCCAAACCAAGGTCAGGATTTTGTGGGGAGGAGACTAATTAAATATCGGTCCAGCTTGAACAGAAATTGCCTTGACAGTCTGTGATTAGGTATGTAGGGGTCACACTGGATCAATCGCTGTGCTGGGATTCCTGGGCTACACAGAATTACCTCTGTAGTTTCATCCTAGGGAGGTTGCCAGCCCTTTGGAATAAAAACCTCACCCCAACAAAGCAATGCTTCTGTACTAAACTCAGAGATACGTTTCCATGTCTGGTTAAACCTGCTTTTCAAAAGTATCCGGAGGCTTGTAGTGGAGATAGTCTTTTGCAGTTACTGAAACCAGCTATCACAAGTTCAATATCACCAGTTCTCTTTGCTGATGATTGACTACCTGTCATCTTGTCATCTGAAGGTGTCAATTAAAATCTACATGCCAAAGATGCTGGTGGTGAACTCGGGAAGGCAGATCTATGAGCTGCAGTGTACTGACGTGGGTGACAATGGAGAAGAACCAACTCAGAACCAATTATTTCATTATCTTCCAAGTTGCAAAGTACTTTCATAGGCAGATGCAGAATTTCTAGTCCCGAGAAGCCTGTCAATCATGCATAATTAAATGAGTATAATGCAGAGCCCAGCTAAAGTGCCAATGCAGAATTACAGATGTGGGACCCTGAGAGCAGACGCTTGACAAAGAGCAACAGCAGTGTGATGCTCTGAGGCAGTGTGATGGGTGACCTGGACCTCTCAAACAGGGTTTGCAGCGTTTTCCATGCAGAAATGTCCAAGCCAGTCCTAAAACAGAAAGCAAAGGAAAAGGTGCTCAGAAACCTCTTTCACGGGGGTTGCAGGGTCTGAGGGAAAACAGGGATGCTGAGCATGGACAATGCTTTTAGCTGGGAGAGAGATGCCCCAGAGCTCAACTCCCTAATTTATTTCCCCTGGACATGGATTTCAAATCTCTCAAGTCTCTGGCCCACTTGCTCTATCTACTACTTCCTGGGCAAATGCCTTTAGGATCTATTCAGAAGCAGAAATACTGTCACCGCATCTTTGTTTTAAACCAATGACGCCTATTGACACCATGCTCTGATCGTGGTCAGTGTCCAGGCTGATGCCAGATTCTTAGCTGTTGCTCTCTTTACAGTTAAACATTTTGTTGCCATCATTTGACAGGGCAGCTAAGACAATTCTGTGTGTTAGAAGCTTTATCACAGTCATCAGTGCTTTTGTAGCTTTTACCCTGGCTATGATTTTTGGATGGAAATAATAGCCACAGAGTGCTCTGGCAAGAGATTGACCAAAATGTAGCTCTGCTTCTATGCTCCCGAGAGCATCAATTCAACAGCTACGCTGCTTTAGTCTTCTAAGTGCAGTTCAGGATAATGGCATTGATCCGTAACATTCTTTATAATTTCAGAAACCAATAATAAATGTCTCTGCTTTAGGCAAAGATGAATATGAAACAAAAAGTCCTTGCCACGAAGGGCTTAGTCTAAATCACAGCTGACAGAACATGAAGAGCAGATATGAGAAAGGAAGAAATGAAGAAGGACAATAGGCAGCAGCACGGTCACACATAGGCTCCCTCCATGGAAAGAAATCTATTTTAATTGTCATTTTGAAAGTTTTAGTCACACTTAATGAGGATTAAGAAAGAGATTAAGGAAAGAAAAATTTCCTAGAAATCAAAATGGCTAAAATGATTGAAAACACTTTGAATTTAAACACCAACAAAAAAAAGGAACTGAGAAGTTCAGATTTAACATGTACATATTGAATGAAAGGTATTTGCCAATTTTTGCCCTGTATTTTGTTAGCATGACATAGAGTAAGTGCCGTTTTAACATTGCCGGCCAGGCGGAAGCAAATCAGCGGCTCCCCTGGGGAAGGTCTGGGGGAGGGGAGTTGGCAGTGAGCTCCACCGTTCTGGGCCAGCCGCAGGGAAAGCTGTGTCCTGCAAACTGGAAGCTCAGATGCAGATCCCCAGCTGGTCCAAGTTGTCACGGCTCCCTGGAAGGAAGCTGATGAATCTGTCACATCTCCTAAACAGTGAGCTCTTTTTAAAACTGCTGCAAAGAGCTCTGGTTACAAGCAACAGACATGACCATCCCTAAAAAGGGCAAATTGGATTATAGGCTGTATCTGATGAAAAATTTTGGGCAGAGTAAAGGTAAGACAGGGTGTTAAAAGAGTCATTAGTAAAACCTCATTGGAGTATAGCACAGAGACTTGAACACTCATGTTCCAGAAAAATTAAATCGCACTGAAACAGAGTCATTAGAAGACTGACAGTGATCTTATTGGAGCTTATCATGTTTGCCCTGATGAAACAAAGCCTGAGAAAGCGTGCAGGAGAGCTGTCTGTAAATACATCAGTGAGTAAATATCACAGATAGACAGGCAAGAAGCTATTTAAGCTTAAGGACAATGGCAGCACAAGAACAAATGGATATAAACAAGTCCAGAATAAATTTATGCTGGAAATCAAAAAAAAAAAGATATTTGATTCTTCTAGCCATAAAAATCTCCAGTGCTGATAAGAAATAGTGTGGCAAATAACCCAGTTGTTTTTAGAGGGCAGTGTAATGAGTGGGTTAAAGTGATTTTATGAGTTGACTGCAATAGTAGGGACTGGACTTCGCCCAGGCTCTGCTCCTCAGCAGGCTTTGTGTTGTGCCTTCAAGAATCAAAGTGGGCCAAGCATTCATCATGATGGATAAAGTTTAGTGTGAGAAGTCAAATAAGCAGAACAACAGTCAAAGCCATTCTCTCACTCTGAGTGAATGCTAATGACACTCATCCATTGCCACATGGAAAACTCACTCACTAAACTAGGTTAATGGAAGAAAATCCTCTTCTCTGGGATACAGGCCCATTGGGTTGGAAGCTACACATAGTGACCCTTGGACATATTCTGTAGAGTCCTTTCCTATTCATCTTTTCCAATCCTATCAGTTTGCTACAGACCTATGCCTCTTTTATTGTTAAACATGCAGCCATTAACAGAGTGAAGTAGCATCCTTCTGCTGGTGTGAATAGCCTTTCCTCCTCTTTATTCCAAAGTCCTTGGCAGTAGAAAACAGTTTTCAAGATGATTCTAAGTATGGAGGATGGAAGGGCAGCGCACAGGATGAGAGAGTGGAGGAGAACACAGAGATGCTGGAGGCTCTTGGTCAACGCATTGAGCTGGAGCAACAAAATGTACAACTCTCCCATCAGCATATTCAAGATAACATTTCCACACTTTGCTCAGATAAAAAGGAAGATGACTGACTTTGATGGGATTGGTTAGTTGGTGAGGTTCACAAGCGGATTCTTACAGTTATACAAGCAGTCAGCACACTGGGGACATTTGATAAGACTATAAAACTGGAACAGTCCCCATTCACAAGTGAAATCTCTGTCTCTCCGTGGCACACAGCAAGTGTTACCATGTGTTGGGTCACCCTTGCTATTTTTTGGGTGTGGGGGTTGCACTCACTAATCCTCAGGGCATGCTCAGGGGAGGGTTTCAGCAACTTGTTCCCTTTGGCACCTGCTCAGAGCCCCAGCCTTGGCTCAGTGTAACCTATCAGCTCGACCAGGCTTTCAAGTTCTCTCTGGACTATTTTTGCATCACACCACTTGAGTTGGTGGAACTTTTATTTTTAGTCCTACGGTATGATTTGTTTGGTCTGCCTGTTTCCCATGTAGGTACTGAAGTGCCAAGGTGCTAAAAGATTTCTAATGATAATAGTGTCAATAAATGTCAGTCAATAAATGTCACCATCTGCGTTACAGTTAGCATCTGCACCCTTCCAGCCCATATTTATATTACATCCATTTAGGTTATAGGCCTTTGTATCATCACTAGCTCACTTCAGATTTACTTCTAACGCTCTCAGTCAGCAGTAAGATGCTCTCCTAGTGCTCCTTTTGAAAGACACCAAACACTAAAAAAACTCTCAGGACAAGCCCTGCTGAAGACTTACCTTGCTCATTGGAGCTTTGCCTCCTCAGACTAAAGGGTTTGCATGGGTGCTATTACTGAGTATCAAGAGGAGGCACAGGGTCAGCTGGGGAAGCTTCTCCCTGCCCCCTCAGGAAAGACGCACAGATGGCAACACCTGAAAACTTGTATTTTGTCCCAGGATCTCCAGGTACCTCTGGCTGCTCTCATTGTTTGCTGGTCAAAACTGCAGCCACTCAATAGAGACAGATTATGGTGGTAGTTACTTGGCTCAGCCCTCTGCCCTTTTCTCTTTGAGAACCTCAGTCTTGTGTATTTTCCCTTGGCTTTTCTTTGGCTTTTATAGTCCTGTTTGCAGCAATAATAACTTTCAGTGCTCTTAATTTCAGCCAAATAAAATTTAAAAAGTATGCTCTGGTAAACTAGTAGTCGCTTGACAAGCAGCTTACCAAACATGGTTCTTCCAGAGGCCTTCAATCCTGAAGATCTACAACTTTATAAAAGCCAAGGTGCACACACACAGTGTCACACCAGAGCTGATCAGAAAGGAGAGTCACTGACACACTGGATTTCCTGGAGTTCTCAAGCTTAGGTGACACCATCATTTAGCAAACAGTAATCTATATGGTCTGCTCTTGTAAGCCATGTCCTCCTACGCCATATTCTCCTGGAATATTTCAGGTGGAACCCCACTGAAATTTTTAATTACCGCATATAAAAATGCCCCTTAGAAGGAGAGCATCAGGCTTTCATTCCTCAGTGGCCTTGTGTTAAACCTCATGTTTCCAACAAAGTAATAGGATATTTCTGCTTTTAAACACAGGAACTGGACTATAAAGCTCCAGGCTGAAGATTGTTTGAGATTTTTGTCTCCTTTGTCCATGTTTGCTGTGCTCTCAGTGGAGAGTTTCTGTATTCATGTAAAATATATTTTGATGGCAGTTCTGCAGCCATTGCTGCCACGTCTTTCAGCCAGTTTCCAGAAGGCATATTCCAGCTGCTTACCACAAATGGCTACAAAAAGGAAAAACATTACATAGGTAAGATAAACTTTTTTAAAATTACGAAAAATAAGGTTTTCTGTGTTTACCTTGGGTTTTTTAGAGCACCTTCAAAGCACTGCAGACCTCCGTATGTTTTCAGCATGTTACATGTGATGACTTGGTGCGATGGTATTTATAAGCCGGTATTACATTAATCAGTTGTTGATCTAATGGATTGACTCTATACCTAGTTACTTTTCAATCTGAAGAGTGTTCAGTCCCATCTATATTTATAATCTCTATCTGATCAGTAAAACAGACCATGGTAAAAGCTGTGTAAGAAAGCTTCCTTCTTTACTAATTGGACTAGACTTGAAAACCAGAGGCTCTCCTGGGAGCATTTCCTGTTTTCCTCATACTTATTTGCATATTCAGTTCAACAGCAAAACGAGTCTGTAATTGCTCAGTTCAGAAATTAAAAGCTTCTTATCATGTACATTGGTCAGAAGAAAACATGTGCAATCGCTACATCAGTGCCAAACTGTACTAAACCAGTACTACCTGCACTAATTTAGGATTAGGAAGTGTATTAAACAATAACTTAAGAAGCAAAGGATGTTAAGGGAAGGAAATTGGCTGGAGACTTTGTTTAATGTGTCCTTGCTAGTACAAGTAAGAATTTTTCCACTGCTCAACATGTAAATTACATTCACCATCTAATTGCACCAATTGAGGCAATCTGAGGTAGTTTAACATTCAGAAATGTTTTGTAACCAGTTTATATTTGATGTATAACTCACAACAGTATTGACATCATCTTTAAATTTAATAATATGGGTTAGGTTGGACCTCACTGTGAGCTTCTCGCTTTGATGTCTGACATAACTAATGCACATGGAGATGCTCAAATGCTGCTTGGCTGTGCTGCTGGGGATTGAATGTCACGGCTTAATGCCACTGGGAAGAAACAGCACCACCAAAATAACTTGATCTAGCTATTTACCCTTGCAAATATATACTGGGAAATGAGACAGACTGAAAAAGAAATGGTGGGGTGATGGTAAAAAAAAAAAAAAAGCCTGAAATGGACTGTGGTCCTTGTGATTCAAACACACATTGTTTTCACATCATATTGTCCCATCTAAACTCACAGGACTGTCCGGACTAGTAATGATTAGTTTAATATCATTACATTCCCGTATATGCATGTGTGACTACTGGTCAAACTTCCTGAAAATAGGATTATATAATTAGTTCATATAGAAGTCAAAACATCAAAGTCCATGCTTAAGCAAATTGTCACAAAGCAATTAGGAGTTTTACATGAGAAAAAAAGTGATGAAACAATTCAGAGCCCACTTCTGGTTCTTTTTCTATCCTAAATTTCAGTACAAAACAAAGGAAAAGTGCTGTTTTAAACATAAAGTATGAAATATCATATTATCTTTTATCCAAAGGACATCATAGCGTCAGGAGCATTTCATCTATGGCAATTTCTATGGACAAGTATAAACCCTCCGATCAAACTTGTAGCTGAGTAATATTTAAAAAGTAACACCTTACTTTCCTGGGTGACATTTCACAGGCTGAGGAGTTGATGACAGAAACTTGTACAGAATAAGCAAACATGCAGGGAACAGACTTTCACCAGGACTACTCTGTCTTCGATTTCAAGCTCAGACAACCAGGATGCCACAGATGAGGCCAAGCCACCAGAAAGCAGATCTTTCACAAATCAGCTCCCATGTGCCAGTTTCAGCTTCTTGTTCTTGACATTAAAACTGTTCAGAAGTTAACTTCAAGCTTTGATTGTTTTCCAAGCCAGCTAAGAGAAAAATGCAATTTGCTACTGTTATGCCTATATGGCTGCTCATGCCAACATAAAGTAAGTCTTTTGAACACATCTTCCATAGAGACATGAAATTTTTCAAGAGAAAAGGCAAGCACTGCTGTTTCCTGTCATTCCTAATGTTCTGAAATGGAAAATAAAAACTCAGAGACACCATCCACTTCAGATATTTCCTTAAAAGTGGAACTGGACCATTTACTGGCTCCACCACAGGAGTACCCCTCCATATTTGCGCTTAGCATTCATTCCAGGAAGGATGCTTCTCTGTTGCTAAAGACTGATCATATACCACCATACACCATTCCACTGTCCTGCCCTGAAAGTGCAAAATGATGAAAGAAACACTGATACAGGAAGACTGTATGATTTCCAGGCTCCTTACCTCATTATGTTTAATACCAAATTTCTTTTTTCCTTCCTCACTCTCTCCTGCTTATTTTAATGCATGAAGAATTATTTTATGTCCAGGGAAAATTGTTCTGAATCTCTCCATATTTTGAATATTGATACAAATAAAGTTTTGTCTTTATATGGAAGTTGAAACAAGTTATTAGTTTAATAAATGCAACACTGTGTTTGGACCAGAGCTAAAAGTTTTGCATACATAGAAAGTAAGAAGTTAAAATAATGAAGTAATGAATTCTACAATTACCTGTGGTCTTTATCTATGCTCTTTCAGCTAGAAACTGAGTTTCTTCAAGGCTGGAAGCCTTTGAAGTCTCCAGTTGGTGAGAATTATGAATCAAGTGGTTTAACACTGCGATATATAATTATTTAAGTATTATACAAAAACAGCCCGTGGTGCATTTGACTTAAACAATAGCCACTACAGAGTGACCCCATAATTTTTATTTAGTCCCTGATAAATACACTGAGATATTTTCTTAAACAACTGTAAGAGCAGATCTTTTCTAGTAGAAATGAAACACAATTAAAAGTTGAGTGAAAAGCTGGTTAGTCTTATTCACATGGAAAAGGACTGTACTCCTCAAAAAGACACAGCAGGACTGTTTGAGGAGCAGATCCTATTACATGCAATAAGGAGATCAAAATTAAAGCTCAAGACATTTTTATTTAACACTGTGTACCTTTTAATTTGCAAAGCACAAGACAGATTGTTTGCTTTATTTTAAAGTACTTTTTAGGGATGTATTTATTAAATAGTAGAGGTCTATCTGAAATACACATAACAAAATAGCCTAAACAAATGAGAAAAAAATGATGGCATATCGTGCCTGCAGGACTGCAAAGCTGTGTATAATTTTGCTTCCTTTCACCAAAGGGAAACTTAGAAAAACTAAACAAACAAACATTGAAAGAATTCCACTTTTTGATGTCAAATATTGTTCTTTCACCAGGTTTGCAAACACTGGAATGTCACATAAGCAAATTTAGCTTCAACAAAGGCATTTAATTGTTTACTGCAAATTACAGCTGTACATCTTTTGATCACCATTTCAAGCCAAGAAAAATATTGTTTCAAGTTAAAGGACCTAAAAATAAAATGACTGTAACGAAATATTCACTTTTAGACCATGAACTTCAACATTGCCCTTTAGTCGTAAGTCTAAGAATAAATTAAAAAAAAACCCTCTGTGCTACAACTGTATTTCCTGTAACATCTGTTCATGATTGAGGTATTTCACTAGCACAGGATGTACTCAGATGAAACGGAAACTGCCCCTCTGTAACTGCCAGTTGAGCTCCCAAAATATAGATGAGTTTGCTGACCACAGTGCAATTGAGCCTCAGCCTTCTACTCAGTCAGGGAGGTATTAATACACTGATGGCAGGAATGCTGCTAATAATCTGAATATTCAGTTAATAATATTGGAACTTATTCTTGAAGAAAATGAGATCTGCAGAAAGGTATTTCTTTAAAGGGGTTTAGATAATGCAAGCCTACAAATGTGTTCATTAGCTACCATGATCTGTTTAAAGACATAAGAAGCCTGTGGCACTGACAGCACAAAGGAGTGAAAAGGACTGTTTGAGGGAGACATTCAAATTGATGCTGAACTCTAAATAAAAGATACATGAACAGGGACTAAGCAAAAATGTTTCTTGTTCTGAAGAAAACTCATATAAACAGCCTGAAGAAAAAGGGAAGGAAAGAATTAAACTTTTAAATCCATACAGAAACTATCTCAGCTACATTAACCTCCTGCTCCCTCCAGCACCTCCAGCACTGAGTGTTAAGAGTGTAGTCAGAAAGCCAAGGGAAATGATTTTCTCTCTTTCTTGTATGAGAGATTCTTTCTTGTAAGTGATTTTCTTTCTTGCTTTCCCTTCTTTCTTCTTGTTCCCATTTGAGGGGCTACATCTGGAGGACTTCATCCTGTCCTGGACACCCCAGTACTGGATACTTGCTGACAATCTGGAGCCAGTCAAGCGCAGGGCCATGAATATGAGCACACCACTGAAAAGGAGAGGCTGAGAAAGCTGGGCTTGCTCAACCTGGGAAAGAGCTGGCTCTACGTATCTCATGTAGAGAAAAACAGATGCTTGTAGTTACTCAAAACCCAACTAGAGAAAGACCTTCATAAGCTTTGCTTTAAGCTAGAGGCTGGACTAGAGACCTCCAGAGGTTCCTTCTGACCCCAGTTATTCCATGATTTCTGCTCTGGGATTATGTGAGGTGGAATGATCTAGGTCAGTGTTGTAGGGATGGCAGAGATTTCACCATTGGAAGTTGGGCATGGAAGGAGAGTACCACTGCATGACAACAGGTGCCTTCTAAGAGCAGATTAGCAAACTCTCTGCTAGTGGTTAGCACTGGCTGTCTAGCTAATCCAAAGCTAAATCTTCCTGAGGGACAAGATATATAGCCCTGCTGCCCAAAGCTGTTTCCTGGAAGGAACAGTATCTGCATAAAATCATCTCCTCTAATATTCCAAAGCCACAGGCAAGTGCAAGGAATACCTACCTATTTTCCAGTTGGAGAGCATTTTTATACGGGAGACCTGAAAACAGAAATCATCATTTAAAAAAATACTGGAATAAAGTATTTAAATTCCAGTGACTTAGGAAAAATTCTTGATGTATTGACTTTAGAAATCTTGTTTCTTCACCAGTATAAATAAAATAATTCAGCTAAAATACAAAAGCAAGTTTTGACGATTCAATATCATGAAGTTATTCACTGTGAATATGCTAAGCATGTGAGACAAAAATGGAAGAAT